GGCCATCAGTTTGGGGGTCCTTTGCCTAGAAAACCTTGAAGACCCCTGACTTAAAGGCATCCCTCACACCAAGCATGCTTGTAGCAACAGTGGAGAGGAAAAACTCCCTTCTAACAGGAAGAAACCTCCAGCAGAACCAGGCTCAGTGTGAGCAGCCATCTTCGACTGGGGTTCAAGGAGGCAGAAGAGATACAAATAATAAATTAATTCAAAAACATTAAAAATAAGTGAGGATGAGAAAGATTAGGTTAGTATAAGTGCTGGTGAGAATATCTCAGAGTCAGAGAGAGAGAAAGAAAACTGATGAAGGAGAAAAGGAAGCCACAAAGTCAGCAAATCCAGCCTATCCTATTGGACCACCTCTGTATTTATTCTCTATATAAATTCCAGTACATAGAAATTAGATTTGAATCTCTGTAGTGAGTTTAACTGCCCGATACAGCAATTGTCACCTTTAGATCTCCTGAAAAAAAAAGGCTGAAATCAGTTTTAAGCTCTTTTTTCTGTATTTACCTTCAATATTAATTAATTTTATTCATGTTTGGGGAAAAAAAATCGTTTTCAGCTAGCCTATACTTTAAATTTGTCTTTTATTTCAAAGAAGAGAAAATGACACAATGAGAGTTTTAAAGTGTTTTGATGTTCAACTTTCAAATAGTGACTTATTTCAAAAAAGAGGTCCAGCATAACTACCCTGCCAAGACATTTTGTGCCTCCTTTGCCCCCCATGTAATTTTTTTCTAGATTCACCACTGTTGAACGAGGACCCTAAACCTAAAGCCAGAGCTACATAATATGGTTTAGATTAGTGTCGCACCGAGGCCATTGTTTGGCCCCGACACCTGGCTGTGCAGTATTGGCCGATACCGATACCTTCTGTTTGAAATTGATGTGTGTGTATATATGAAGAATTGGATACTACTGGGATGTAAAATAATTGCCATCATGGCTTTGTCAAGCTGCTGCCTTCCTTTGTGAAGCAGAAAAAGACTACCGGTAATACAAAGTGAATCTAGTAGAACTTTTTATTGCCTACCTGGAATGGGTGACAATAGTTGAATAAACTTTTGGTTCTCAAAATGGTATCGGTGCCCCATTTGTTGGTACTCGCCGATACCGATGGCACTATTTTAGTGCTGGATTGGGGCCCCGCCTAATACTGTTATCGGTACTGGTGCAACACTAGTTTAGATCAAATCATATTTATGCTAGGACCAAAGGCGTAGCCAGAAACGTGTGATAATTGTGGTCAGGAAGGAACCAATATGCCCAAAAGAGGATGTGCGCCAGAACTTCATGATTAATCTACACTGTTTCAACCAGAAAAGGAACAAGCACTACATCCATATTTTCCAAATAAAGGCAAAGTGGATTTGAAAGCCCTTGCTCATAAATATATTGAGATATATTTACACATCAAAGCTATCTAAATGAAAGATTTACTGGACAATCTCAACTTTAAGTTCTGGGGATAACATCTCAGATTCTGCTAAAGACCCCTAGATAACTTGAAGAGATATAATTTTCTTTTCACGCCATAAAACTCCAAATCTAGCTCTGAAAAGAGCATGAACTCTGTATAATTCATCTTTAATGTTGTATATTGAGGTGAGTAGTTAACATTATGTTTTTTGTCATTTCATTGTAATATATCAATTATTAAAATAAAAGATTTGTCCACATGGAATCACCTGTTATTGGTGGCCAATGATTGGCTAAGGTTGGCCATAGCCACCCCTGGCCCCCCATCTAGCACTTTCCCTGGCTAGACCGGGCCAGCTAAAGTCCATCAAATCTGAGAGCAAATATTAAGCAATAAAACTACTACTGTAAACGGTAAAATGACAGACCCGGTGAACATTTCACCACAAAGAGTTTCAGTAGAGGAAAGGAGTGTCAGAGAAGAGAGTTTCAGATAAACCACACATGTTGCCTATTCTGAGGCACAGGAAGTGTAGGTGGACCTTCTCACAACTGCACTTTGGATTTATGTCAATATTTTGCCATCAGATGCTGTCATGAGTAAGTAGGCCGAGGCTGTCACTGGGTAAACAATTTTTTTTCAGACCTTTAAAGCATTTCTACCTAATAGGAATAGGACCAGGCCAAGCACAGCTTTGAGAAAATGCATGCTCTGCAGGAGGAGGTTGGGCGGAGTCTATAAGTAAATAGAAATGGCTGATAGGAGGGGGCTAAAAGTCTGTGAAGCAGAACTTTTAAGGATCTTTACAGCTGTTAATGTAAAAAGAACAATATAACTACACCCACAAACTCCCATATATATATAAAGCTGGAAAAAAAACGAACAGAAACACCTAAAAGAGGGGAAAGAGGGGAAGAACACCCCAACAAAAGCTTGTTTCCTTTCTGAAAGACCAACAGTGGTTCATTGAAAGAAGCAGATAAACTGTTATCTCTGGGTTACCTCACTATTTTTTCACAAAGATCAATATGTTGTGATCACTAGTTTCTTGTCTACATGGGCCATCTATAGTAATTCTTCCTGTCTTTTTCTCAGAGCAGCTCTTATAGGAAAGATGGACCTTCACTGGACCTTCACATGACTACCCCTTCGCTGATCCCTGTTAAACTGATTTGCCTTGCTGTAATCAATTTTTAAATCGACAGCACAATTCTGCAATAAACATTTTATGCCTCAGTTGTGCTAGTGCACAATTTTCCAGACAGCAAAAGGAAAAACAAAAACAGCAGCCGTGGTGCATCTGTGCTGAGCTGAGGGCGGCCTGTTTAAACAGGGCCTTTTAACGTTTGCTGCTGCCCTCCCCCTCGTCCTTGGCCTGTTTTAAAACCGGAGTGGTGAGTCACTCCTCTCTCGGTTTAGAAAAACAGATCCGGCCAGGCAGGGCCCCGGCTGGGGGGATGGGAGGCCCACGGTGGATGAACACCGGAGGTGGACGCAGCTGGACTCCTGCTTTCAGGGACCCCAGCATCCTGACGACGGGCTGGCTTGTTCCTATAGTGATCTAAAAGAGGGGGGGAAACACAGCTAGGATTAATGGATGCATCTTTGCAGCCTGCTAAATGTGACCAGTCAGTTGGGTATGTCCTTCAGATTTGGAGGAAGCCTAATCCTGTATCTAAACCCAGAATCCCCACAACACCCTTTTGCTTTCATTTTCATTCTCTGTTACAGGTCACCTAATGTACCTGTTTCTTGTTTTTATCATCACAGGCATAATAGCATACTTTTTTTCTCTTAAAAAAAAACAAAAAAACAACACAAAGTTGCTAGGCCTATACAAAGAATTACACCAAAATATAACTGTACTCACACATTGCTATCAACATTATGTTTATCTTACACATTCTTGTTTCCCAATTCAGATTTTTTGGGCTCTTTCACTGAAAATTACTTAAAGAACAATTTATTCCTTAACAGATACCCTTTCAAACCCTCCCATTTTCCCGCCAAAGAGCTCGAGGGAGTGGTAGTGGTGGGGGTAATTGAGGGGGCGTCGGGTTCCCCTTCTTTAGAGTTTAACGGCAGTTGGCATTCATTAATTTGACCTCAGGGGGCTTCAAATTCTGGCCTGTTCTGAAAGGGCGAATCAATATCTCCATGACAACTGTAGCCACGGGCAACCCGGGATGCTCCGGTCCGGCGAAGCGCTGCACAACTAACATGCGTAGTATGGCGAGAAGTCCGATAAAGAGACAGCAGCACGAACGCCGAAGTAAGCTAATAAGATCGTTTAAATTGGAAACTCAAACCTGAATGAAAGAGCAACATCGCCTTTGAGGAAGTGTTCGCGTCAGTCTACATTTGTACCGCTAGATGGCGGCATTACAACTAATTTAAAGAAGAAAAAAACTGAATACTGAACTCCAGCAATAATTACGTATATTAAAAATTTGATGTAAAAATAGGAAATGGGTAATGCTCAGTGCTTTCATGGGTTATTTCAACAATACAACACAAACAAACAAAAAAACAAACATACAAAAGAAAAGCAAGTTGTCGACAAGTTTCAGCTAGTAACTGTTTCCGTCCTGTTGTTAATAAAGTTTGAATTTGAATCGGCTGCCTCTGCAACAACAATGGCGGCGGCTAAAGCTGCATCCGGAGTCCCCCCTTCACTGTCTGCCAAAGTGATAGGGTATGTTGTCAGGAAAGTTGATGACTTTTTCGTGTGTTTTATAATGTGGGAAACTAAAATTAAACATTAGAGCACGTTGTTTTATTGCAGAAAAATCTAATTTAGTAGCGTTAGCTAAATGCTAATACATTTCTGCTTGTGCTTACTGAAAAAACAGCACATTTATTTTATTCCGTTTCAACACAGAATGGACTCATGTATTATAGAAGTAGAACACAGTTTTAGAGTAATTACTCATGTTGTCCTTTCCATACTGCTGAATAAAATGCTCTGGCTTCCTTAGATGATAAATGCCCACACTTGGCTGCAGTCAGAGCTTTTTAGGCTGTACTTCATGCATCTGCAAATAAATCTTAAAAATCTCACTTTTTAAAATTCTTGTTCTTACAGTTTAAATTTATGTTTTGCTAAACAAAATGTGTTCTGATTTGATATGTTTAGATTGTGTTGTTTTCTACTATGTAAAATAGCTTTTTTTTATCTAGTTCCTTAGTTTAGATTCAACTGCATTTACAAATTAAATACAGATTTATATAATATATTTATAAAGCTGTTTTATATATTCTACCATTAGTCTAAAATAGTAATAAATGTGAGCAACTTTTGACTATCCTAAATGCTTTAGGTTTCAGATTAGAATGGATTAGAGGAGAGTAAATGCACTGGACTCTGAATGGCTCCTGTAGAACTTGACACTAAGATGTTGT